CCTAAGTATTTATAACTGTCAACTTTTTCTATGTATTGATTGTTTATAAGAATTTGGTGGTTGTTCTGTGCTGTTTTGGATACTATCACTTTATTTAGTAGTATCTGTAAATAGGGTGAATTGTTAGCCAACAGGACAGTATCATTGCGAATCTTATGTTGTTCATGGCGACTCCATTAATTACAATACCCTTTGTCTCATTTTCTAATGCTCGTTTCATTATTTCCTCTGAGCAAAGCATCAGAAATACCACGCACCCTGTCTCCCACCTCTGCGGATTTCCGTTTCTTCTGTGTTACTTCCTTCCACTGTCACCATCGCTCTCTGATTGAAATAAAGATATGTGATTATTTTTATAACTCTCGTGTCCAAATTATTTTCTTTAGGAATTGTCAGTTGTACGTGTCGGACCTTGTCGAAAGCTTTGTTGGAATCAATGAAGCAGACATAGAATTCTTGATGCATATCCATGCACCGTTGGGCAATAACATTCAGGGCAAAGAGTGCTTCTCTTATTTCTAAGCTATCGTGAAAGCCGAATTGAGTCCCGCTGATATCTTGTTCTCATTTTTTCTATATTCTGTTATGTATCAGCTCCACAAATATTTTTAATTACATTGTCTTGCATTATGTTTTTTGGAATAGGGATGAACATCGATATCAACCATTCTCTGGGTGTTATACCTGTCTTGTATATGGTGTTATATTAGATTATGTATGTTTTCCTCTCTTACCAACTTAATAAATTTAGTGGGTAACCCATCGGGCCCTGCAGCTTTTCCATTTTTTATGGTCTTTATAGCATGGATGGCCTCTTCTTTAGTTATTTCTATTCCATTGTTATCTTTTTCTATTTCTACTCTGAAAAGTTCTTTCATGTATTGCATCCGGTTTTTTACCGTTTCTTCCACTTCCATGATAATTCTACCATTCTGGTCAGTCGGTATTTTCGGTTGTCTCTTTTTATGTAACCTTGCCATTTATTTTACTTTTTTGTGAACACTGAAATTGTCGTGCTTTTCTTGTAGGGCTTCTATTTCTTCGAATTTATTTTTGTAGAATACCTCTTTTGCTTATCTTATCTTTAATCGGATTTCTTTCTGGCGACGTTTGTTTATTAACTCCATAATCTCTGCTTGTTTTTTAACTCCTCTCTTCTCCATTGATAACCAATTAGTCTCGCGTAGTTGGTACGAAACTGCGGCAAATACCGTAAATCATTCTCAAGCAGGATTTTTGGACGCTCTATCTAAGCAAGGTCATTTTTCCCGAATACTAAAGACGTTTATTAGTAAAGTGTTTGTTCGAGAATTCCACTATGCTGCTTAAGTCTTCATTAATCTTTTCTTGTACCTTCTGCGCAACTAGTAGATTGACGAATATATAAAGTTGTGTTCCTCAGCGTGAAGATAATATTACTTGTATAAATGGAGAATAGAAGTGGTCCCAATATTGAACCCTGCGGGACGCCTCGCGTTAGGGTCGTCATTTCGGAATTTCCCAAAAATGAATTTAAAAAAAAGTATATATTTTAATGAAGATTGTCTTGTTCATGAGGTCATGCGATTCCTGGTTCGGGTCCATAATCGGATTCGATTACCCGAACCTAGCACGAACTGGAAAGCCAAACCCCGTTGTCGTAAACGTAAATAAATTCTCCTTAGGAAAACGGGGAACACGCCCGTTAACCTCCAGGAGCGCGCACAGCCTCATGACTATTTCATTAACATAAATTCGGGCCGGCCCGTCCGAAAGTCACCGGCGTTGATTTCCACGTGGAAATCAAGCTTTGTTTATCAATTATTCGCGGGACATTGTCTGCGAATACCTGCGCAATATCAAACTATTAATAATTCCGTTGGGTAAATGGGATTTCGCGTGGGAGCTTGAATAATGAACCGCCAGTCCGACGGGTCTGCCTTTTTTTGACACCGCCCGGATCGATTTGCAGTGCAAAAATGCAGAGACGTAGTGACGCATGGTTTCAACACGCGTTCGAGCCTATAGATAGTACCAGGAAAGAAGAGTTTGATATATGCGTCAGACAGATTTAGTGATAGGAACGACACGAAAAATAAATAAAAGAAAACAAACTTTTAAAATAAAAACGGAATACAATATAGTCAGACTATTTGAACTTAATTAGAATACTCAGGTCTTATTTCTGTTTCTCGTGATGTCCATATCATGACCAACTGCACCCAATCAAATTATTTTTTCAATTTTCTCCATGCTTTTTGGCGTGTAGATTAAAATAGAGTCAATCTTTTAGTTCGTCATTAACCACAGCATCAGACACAACGCCTATTTCAACTACGTCGTACGAATAAATATTTGCCAAATACTAACTAATGAAGATGTTCGGATCGGAATCTGCCACAAACATCTAAAGAGGAAGATAAGATGTATGTGATAAGATGTACGTGATAGCTTGCGCAAGAATGTTGGTCGAAAAAAATGTCGTTACGATCGTTAGCTACCAAGATCCATGTAGAGGAAGGAAGGTAAACCTTTGCAAAGAAGTCAGCGATGCCAATCGGCAAGAACCATAATCGACACCTGAAAAGCGTAATACCAGTGCCAGTATGATTGAGAGTGATATAAATCTATCACTCATTCTTCAGAAAGTGTACTGGACGTTAAAGTTTATGGCATTGTATTTAAATTAATTATTTTTGAGGCACGCAAGGAATCCTAGTTGTGGATGCAAGACGCTTTATCAGCAATTTTACATCTTTAAATCAGTAACACTAGGATTATTGACTTGTTGGCTGTGATAAATTTGTTTTAATTGATTTTAATTTCCCAACTTCAGTCTAAAACCATTAATGCAACTGAATTGTAGCGTGAGGCATAATATAAGATATTTTATTTATATTATGGGAAGTACTTTGGATTAATGTGAATAACAGTCAATCAGATTTTCATGACAAAATTCTTAAAAATTGATTGCTGAGCTGCTCCTCCACGTAAGCATTTATGTTGTCTAACCCTTCTTCGACCTATCATATACCATACATGTTCAATGGGGGGTTCCATAAGTCTGGGGACCTTGCATATCACGGAACAAGGATTACATTAGCATGTAAGAGGAATTTTCTAGTAACTGCAGCGGAATGCGATCTGGCATTGCCTAACTGAAAAATTTGATCCTTAGAAATGCAGTCTCAAATCTCATGCTAAATTGAAGTTAGTATTTTTTTCTATGTCTTCGACCCACTCTTCTACGAACATCGTGAACCAACACTCAAAACTGGAGATTCTTCTTGACGCATCTAAGCCTATTTATAGCATATTTATAGCACAGTGCAATTTCGACGAAGTACAGACCCCTCTATCATCATTACATGTGTTGCATCTCGTAGGCTCTTTACAGGACGTATTGCTAAACGATGTTTAGGCAATAAATAAACTGTATAGCACTAAGACTCTTCAAGAAAACTTAATAAAAGTTGTTTATTTTTTTGTAAGATTAAAAGGAGTCTACACTTGAAACAAGGACCTATCCGACAAAACATAATATATGCAATTTTTGACACAAACTGTAGCATATTAAAAAAAAATGCATACAACTTGGGCGGGAAGTTCGATGGGAACAAACTTATCTATTCAGAGCTTCGCTGGCGAGTTTTTACGGCCTCGAAGAACGCCAAATCAGGAGTGGGATCATTGAATAACAGCTGGCGAAAAAGTCGAGAAGTCGTAAAAACTATCTAGTTGGAGATAAAAACCCATTATAAAGAGAACACGAGCCGGGCAAGGCCCCGAACCTTGTATACACTCGAGCGTATGTTTTTTGCGTCCCGAGTTGTGTTTGCCAGTTCAATTTACAGCTTTGTTTTCCGCGTTGCTCTTTTCTTGTTTTCCCTTTAAATTGGAAGAAAATTGGTGTTATGAAGGTAACGGGGACTCGATCGGGTCTTATTGGATTTTTCCCCTTTAGGGGAAGCGTCGAGTTTTACACGTGTACCGGGATCGAGAGATGTTTGTTCAATAAAGCGAGGAAACGCCGCCATTTCGTTGGTTATAATCGATTAATTATTATTTATTACAGACGGAAAGTGCTTCTCACATTTGTACGCGGTCGTTAACCCAGATATAAAGTTCTTAGAATTCGTCAATAAAAAAAGACTATCGAAAATTTCATCATGCTATTACCTCTGGACGTATAAGGCAGTAACAATTTCAAAACCACTTCCTTAACATACTCTTTAGGTGCTCATCTATAAAATTACCGCAAATGACTCGTTAGTTTTCGATACGCCCAGCGAAATGACGATAGCTAAATCTGGATTTTTTTTTAAAGCTTCTTGCTGCCGGTGACGTCAAATACGAGGGTCAGCGATTCTGGAATGTAGGTTAGCACTCGATAGGTCAAACCGGAACGCGTCGGAAGGCGTCGCGATGTCTGGCGTCAAAATACACTTTTGAATTTCCAAATCGATGGATCGTTGTTGCCGGTAGCGAACTTTAGATGGATTAAGTAATGTCGAGAAAATGCGAATAGGAAAGGCCGTATGGTATGATGGATTGTATGACCTGTACATTTATATTTTACAGCTAAAATAAACAAATTTAGCCCGAAGATTTTAAATAATAGTAGTGAATATCGGGGAATGGCTCCTTTTTCCCAAATCTAAAAAAGATATCTGAATAGAGATTTAACACGAAATGGAAAGATATGGGTCTAGGTTGTAAAAAATAAAGATAAAACAGAGAGTTAAAATGAATTAGAGAAAAGTTTAGAAGATAAAACAGAAGTTTTAAAAAAAGGGAAGTTTGAAGCTAGAGACAGAAAAGTTCAAAACAGAAATTTTCACTAGAATGTTATCAGAGATAGATGAAAATGTATATCATAACATACAAGAGGTTCTTTTCCATTTCGTTTCATCAGGTGCTCATTAATTCCAACAAAAGTCCTTCAAATTTGTTGTAATTGTTAATAGCATATTTTACGTTTTTTTTTAAGAATAGTAAGAGAGTGAAAAATAAGTGCTCACCTTCCATGTTGTGGTCCCACATTGCCGCTGTCGAAAGACGAGCTGGCACTAATATCGCTGTCCTTGATTGCTCCGTTCTCCATGCCAATGGGCGCTATGCATTGAGCTGAAATAGAAAGCGAATGTGTAACAGATGACAATTCTCAAGGTCAAAGTTTCAAGTTCTCCCAGAAATCAATGCACTGACAAAGCTTCTATGGTAATATAGTTCTGGTTTGTTTCAAATAACATGTCAAAACAAAATTAAACTACTGGCAAAGTAACTAACTAACTACTGCCAAAGGTATTAACTTTTTTTCTCGATTTTCCACTGTTTTTTGGACATTGCTATGAAACACGATTAGTGTCCGAAATGTGAACTTACTAATTTCAAATTTGGCATTTGGTCTACTGATGTGATTTATTGAAATTGGGTCGGGAAGAATTTTTTTAAAAATTGAAAATCGCGTTTGCAAAGGTCAAAGAAAAAGACCATTTCCCAAAAACCGTTTATGCAATGTGTATAGCTGTGCCCGGGTTCTGAAAAGTGAAAATTGGAGTCCCCTTATATTGATAATTGACCATAACTAGAAGGCTGTATTTCAGTCATCAGTTTCTGTACATGGCCATGTAGCCCCTATGGACAGTTAAAATTTTGTATTTAAAGTTTTCAGAAGAGATAGTCTATATTAAAAAATGTAGTAGGTGTCTCAAATTTGCAGCTATAGGCCTCAAATTTCGAAGGGATATAAAAGTCCGTACCCACATCTATACTTTAGAAACTCGGCGCAATAAAATATCGGCAAATATTTCTAAATTTTTTGTGTTATTTGGGCTTCAAGAAAAAAATTATTTTCTCGAGAACTATTAACCCAATCGGAAAAATTCTGGTACCAGGAACTGTGGAAGTTCGGGGACTATAAATAACTTTTGTTTCAAGTATTTTTTCGATTATATACAGGGTTTTCCAATTGTGGACACAGATCTGAAAGACCCTGAAAATTGTTTTTTTTTGGGAATAAATTATTAAACTGTAAATTAAAATTCGTAAACAATATAGTTAATTGGTATAAACAGTATTATATGCCGCATCGAGAGCTACAATTTTTGTATTTACGGTTTTCATCTCTCACATACGCTGGTCGAGATATTTAAAAAAATGAATCTGAAAATCGCTATTTCTTGCACTCAATCTGGATGCGATGACATCATTTACTGTTGCAGCGTACCTGGATACGTACCTGGACCTGGATACGTGGGAGATCCGGGGCTCTACTGCGAATATTTTTTCAATTATTTATAGGGTGTTTCGTTTGTGGGCAAAAAATCTTAAAAATGCATTATTATTATTAAAAATCCATTTAAATTATATATGCGCAATCTTGTTTTTTCATCTACTATCTACCTAGTGATGATTAGGTTTCCTCTCTAAATATGACTTTAAAGAGCCAAAGTGGAAGTGGCCTATAATTTTAGAGATTTAATGGATGGCTAATATGCTGAAACCTAGTTTGAGTTTATTTATTTAATCGTGTCTAAACTACAACTTGTAACTAGAAACTATAAGATATTGTTCATATATCACTCCAGTATCTGGCGCATTTCACAGCATTTTCATTGCACGTCCAAAGGTCCCTTGTAGGGATTGACACGCTAGAAGGTGCTCCATTGTCTGGGATATCCCCATTTGAGGAGGTTGTTCTTGGATCTCCCCATTTGGCATCGGAGTCGGTTGAGGGTTTTCCAGGTACCCCAGTCTAAGTCAGAGCCTGCACGAAATTTTTCTTTTATATTCGAGGTTAGGATGTCGTTGACTGCTAGGCGCTGTTCCCATTTTGTCTCCTTGGTAGCAGTTTTTGAGGCTGTGAGTGGCTGTGTAGTTTGTGTTTATTGGATAGAATCTTTACTAACAGACAACCATCATGACTCATCCATAAGCACGCAAAAATTGCTCAGATATTTTATTTTAATAAAATTGTTATAAATCTTACTGAGTAATCTTACTCTGCAAATTACTTATCTTGCTAATCCCTATCAAAGGGGCACGAGGCTAAAATTTTTTATAGGCAGATTCAGATCAAACTACTTCTCAAAATCTCCACTTATTAGAAGGTCTCATGTGTATACCAACCATATTTTTCTGAAAAATAGGGATACCGTTTTATCTTTTAAAGCCCGAATTTGTTTAAAACAAACGTATACAATATCTTGTAATTTTCCTTTGACAATCCCCATTACCTTTAGAATAATCTACGTAAGTTTCCTTTTTCCTGACTAATGTTTAATACGCGTTATGCTATAATTGAACAGCCTCGTCTGCCTTGGGGTTTGTAAAAAATAATAAGTAAATTAATTAAATATTAGATTTGGGATACTTTGTTATGAACCGAAAATAGTACCAACGCAGTGTAACCCGTTACAAGTCACGAAACGAATTTTCGTTTATTTCGACGGTCCCCCGTATATTCAACGGCCTTATCAATATACATTATTTACACACACATACGATTAACGTAATAATTACCCTCAAAAGTGAAACGTCGATCGGTATCCCGATCGGTTTTAAAATTTTAATGAAGCTGACACATGCGGGAAGCGGATCAATTTTTAAATAATAAAAGCGGGATTACGGGGTAATATCAGTTTCCAAATCGATCGGTATTAAGGATTACGTGCCGTTATAAGTGACGAACTAATCCCCGATAATTGCAGGGGCCCGTGCCAATCACGTGGAATTCCCCCCAAACGGATCACAAAATTCACCCCGACGCGTATACTTCTTCACAGTCGTCCGGGGGTGGGGGGTTTTATTTTGCGTTACGGATCGCGTGCACTTTAATTGCGCTTTTTAACGGGCAGAGCAATAGTTCCCTTTCGGTCCTCGCAATACTAGGCTATGATTGAAAGGAAATACAAAATAGTATGTTATGCAACCAGTGCGGAGTGGGGCGAGCGTTTACTAGACGAGTGGCTTAAAAAATTTACCAAACATGTTGCATAGTATACTTTTTCCACGACCGTTAGTTTTTTTGGTACATTTTTGAAAAGCAACACGAATGACATGACATGACCGTCAGAACTGACAAAAATCTCCTAAAACCTCCGATTGCTCCCAAACCCGTGCAATAATATCCAGGAAATATCCGAAGTGATTCGGATCCGTGGGACAAGAAACTCGCGTGGTAAAATGACGCTTCCCGCACGCTAGATCGGTGTATAATGAGCTATTTTACAGAAGGAAGTAGGTAACAGAAACCTTTTTGAAAATAGTTTATCTCAGGAAGTTTATGGGACAAGAATCATGAATTACACATATCCCAGACACAGAGTGACCATGAGTGAGAAGGGTGCGTATTATCAGTGTGTGTGTGAACAATATAAAAACGATTAGAGGTTTAAAAATGTTAAAGAAAACCATTTTTAATTTACTTGTAGACATAGAACCATATAGCGTAGAATAATACTATAGATTTATTTAAAACATCTAGGACAACTACTGTAAACGACACTTTTTCAATGTAATTATGCTTTGAAATAAAGATGATTTATTATATTATAACAAGTGCGGTAAACGGCATTTGTCTCGCGAGTGTATTTGGCACGCGCTCCGCTCGCGCTTAATAAACGAGTGAGATAAAGAGCTTACCAAACTTTTTCTACCATCGTTACAAAAAAGTCACAATTTAACAAATTAAAAATAATAACAGATTATCGGACTACTAAATTTCGTACCATTCAAACAAAATATTTACTAGCTGCCACTGAACCTATTCGTTTATCGTTCTGCTATTGTTGTCTCTTTTTGACTGTGTACGTTAGACAGAGAGAGATGTATTATTGGATATGTCATATAAAAACGGAATAAACGCAATTTTAAAACGTTATGCTGTTTATTTTACTTTTACAATTGATCATTAAGTAGTTTATTTAAAGAAAAAGTCTATAATTAAAGTTCCTAACATTCAATTTTGTTTTGTACTGATGAGACGTAGATATTTGAAAATCGCACAATTAATCTTGTAAAAACCACTAAAGTTCATATGAACGGTATGTAAAATTTCTGTGGGAAACTTAAATTATAAACGTCACTTTACTTACCGACTAGGCCACTAGATTTTAATTGTAGCTCATAGCACGTAGTATTTAAATTTTCTGATATATTTACGAATACGAACTGACAAATGTCAAACCCAAGGCGTGGGAAATATCTCCGAAATTACCCGATTGCTTCCAAATCCGTGTGGTAAAATCCCGGAAATGTCTGAAGTGGCTCGTATTCGTGGGAAACGAAACTGACGTGGTTAAATGACGCTTCCCGCACGCTAGATCAGTGTGTAATGAGGTATTTTATATATAGCTAGCGCCACTAATGCCTTCTACGTATTCTGTAAATAGTTTGAACGACATTCGATGACTAAACTCTTCTTCTCATTAATGATCAATATTTTCACGAATTTAATCTGGAATTGCCATATGGCGGAAATTTTTATGGATCGCCATCGATTTTCTTAGCGTAGTTCAAAGTTAAAGTGTGGATATTTATTAGACAGGGTGTCCCACGTAAGCACTGTGCAATCTTGTAAAATCTTTGTCTATGGATCGATCAAAAATACATTAAAATCTTATTTTGCTTATTACTTCAGCCTAGTCATGGCCAACTTGGACTATTTTACAAAAGAGAGAGAAGGGATTTTTTAAGAATAAATTGACAAATCATTCTCATGAAGGAGTACTTACAACTCAACTATACCAAATTTTCTAGTTTTTAATGCAGGGTGTTTAAAATATCGTCGGCTCTACATCGTGGTAAAAACTTTGACTACGGTTTGATTCTGATATATTTTTTTGTGGGATAATCAAGTAATTCTTGATTATTCTATTGAGAATCTCCAGTAGCTAGTACTAAAAACAAGTTCTTTGAAACCAAATTCCTGCATAGTGCTGAATTAGGCGAAAAAAATTGTTTTATTTAATTTTATTTATTTTTTATTTTATTTTCGTTTTAATACTTTATTTTGATTTAATTGAATAATTAGTTAACATATGTTAAAATGAATGCAAACAAGTTCTGACTGTCTTCGACTTCGACTTTTCTTCGTTTCAGTAGGTCTATTAACTTAATATTGTTAAATATGGTCCTTGTTTTTTTTTTCATTTATTAGAATGCATCCTACATTGTAAAATCGAAAGTGTTTCTCGTGTAAGTATTTAAAAAGGTTACCTTAAATTTCCAATTAAGAAATGTTAGCGGTTTTAATAAATAAAAAACTTTTGAACAGTTTAAGCTTATTCAAATATCTCAAGACACTTTTTCGAACTTCAAAATTCATTCCTTGGCCATTTAAGATAATTACTATATTCATTATACTTTTCGAATGCTATAGATTTAATAATACGGTTATTACAAATAAATCTCCCCTAAAAAATATTTCAAGTCTTTTTTAATATTTTTGAAATTTGTATATTCGTGTTATGTTTGTAAGATTTTAAAATCACACGCAAAAGAATCATTGTTTACAAAATAAATATTTATTTTTTTAAAACTTTGATCATTTGTCTACTTACTTTTAGGTAATCCTGGATTTGATTTAATTTTCAATTTGAAAAAATGCCTAGAAGTACTTCTGGATTTTCCGTTTCAAAAAACGGTGTCAGCGAGCTATGACTTTAGTCGATGCTATATGAAAAATGCCGTTTCAGTAGTTTTTAGTAAGGTCTATCCAGCAAAAAAGGAATTATTAAAATTGAGCTATAAACAAATATTCCACAGGAGTTCCACTTTGTTGCCACTTAATTCTTCAAGAAATTCTTTATAGCCCTCCATATTTGGCACCATCTGGTTGATGTAATAAGGCAATATGGTGTGTTTGGAAGAGATTTCCTTGCCAATTTATTCTTTAAAAAATCCCTAGTAGTACTCCTCTCGCCTCTCTCTGTTGTTAAATAGTCCCAGTTTGCCCATGACTTTAGGTTGACACAATATGCAAAACAAGGTTGTAGTGCACTTTTGGAAGAGTGTACAGTTCTTAAGTGGGACGCACTGTGTGTGATCTATTAAGAAAATTTCGACGTATGTGAGCTATTGCTCTGTTACTGGAGAGTATCGGGCCAAGGGCAGTGTCCTGTGAAAGTCTTTCGCAAATGCCATGAAGATTAAGATTTTCAGGGTAGTATCTATAAACAGTTATCGCTTTGCGTCTTATTAATGTGTTAAGTTTAATTTAATTTAAAATTTAACTTTGGTACCTTATATGGTGGCCAAAACTGCCAGGAGTAGCATCTTCTATAAGCCACAATTATTTTAGTACTTACACGGATCAACAGCTTCGCCCGGGTCCAAGTAAAAAATAAGGAGGATGCAAACTGGTGTCAGCCTGCTCTTCATGCTCCTGGTCTATCGGACGAGGATCTGGCCTCGTAAATAAAGTTAAGATCACGACATGTTTATCTGAAATAAAAGATTAGGTTTACTTAAACAATTCACCCTTTACTTTTTTAAATTTATTAACCTAGGTCGATCCTAGTTTAAAAAAAAAAGAACTGTGGTTTTTACTTTTGAAGATAGAAAGCTTGTAGTGCAAATGATATTGTTAAGTTTTAGCGCGAATCGAAGAAACAATGTAACTAATTACAGGCCAATTGAAAGAATTGAGTTGGATTAAAAGCCAACCAGGAACCAATTCAGTGCCAATGAAAGCAATTACAATGAATTAAAGACCAATTAGGAGACCATTCAGTGCCAATCGAATCAATTCACTTTAATTAAAGACCAATTAAGATACGATAAATTACCAGTCAATTCAGCGTCAGCAGAATATTATGAAATAAGCACTCGACTGCGTACTTATCCGATTTGATAGGGTTGCCATTACCATTAATTAAAGACCAATTAGGAGACCATTCAGTGCCAATCGAATCAATTCACTTTAATTAAAGACCAATTAGCATCTAATTCAGTGCCAGTGTAATGAATTTAGTTTAATTAAGATACGATAAATTACCAGTCAATTCAGCGTCAGCAGAATATTATGAAATAAGCACTCGACTGCGTACTTATCCGATTTGATAGGGTTGCCATTACCATTAATTAAAGACCAATTAGGAGACCATTCAGTGCCAATCAAATCAATTCAGGTTAATTAAAGACCAATTAGCATCTAATTCAGTGCCAGTGTAATGAATTTAGATTAATTAAGTTACGATAAGTTACGAGTCAATTCAGTGTCAGCAGAATATTATGAAATAAGCACTCGACTGCGTACTTATCCGATTTGATAGGGTTGCCATTACCATTAATTAAAGACCAATTAGGAGACCATTCAGTGCCAATCGAATCAATTCACTTTAATTAAAGACCAATTAGCATCTAATTCAGTGCCATTGTAATGAATTTAGTTTAATTAAGATACGATAAATTACGAGTCAATACAGTGTCAGCAGAATATTATGAAATAAGCACTCGACTGCGTACTTATCCGATTTGATAGGGTTGCCATTACCATTAATTAAAGACCAATTAGGAGACCATTCAGTGCCAATCAAATCAATTCAGTTTAATTAAAGACCAATTAGCATCTAATTCAGTGCCAGTGTAATGAATTTAGATTAATTAACTTACGATAAGTTACGAGTCAATTCAGTGTCAGCAGATAAGCACTCGACTACGTACTTATCCGATTTGATAGGGTTGCCATTACCATTAATTAAAGACCAATTAGGAGACCATTCACTGTCAATCAAATCAATTCAGTTTAATTAAAGACCAATTAGCATCTAATTCAGTGCCAGTGTAATGAATTTAGATTAATTAACTTACGATAAAATTCAGTGTCAGCAGAATATTATGAAATAAGCACTCGACTACGTACTTATCCCATTTGATAGGGTTGCCAGTTTAACAGCACATAGGCTTTTTAATGGTCAGTTAGTGTTGGACAAGGACTAAAATTATTGAGCGAACACAAAAACGGAATCAATACTAAAAGATTGCTACCATTCAAATAACTCTAGGATGGTGTAATAAAAGTTCCAAGGAATTAAAAAAATATAACTTTTTAAAATTTCGTATATCTCATTTGAAAAAGTTTGTTATTTTCCAAAAACTTTTAATTTAATGAGATTGCCGCGTTGCCAGACTTATCCGAAAATAATGGCAAATGGCGAATAATGTATATTGCTAATGAAACTCTGTATAGTTTGTTGTTTTCCATGAACTTTTAAATTTTGTCATTACTATTGATTCAACTTCAAGATATGAAAACAATTTAAATAATTTTTTATATTATTATTAAATTGCCAACCTCGGATCTAAAAACTGATAATCAACAACACCTAATCCATAGATACAGAAATGCGTACTTCTCATTCTGAAAAAAATATGAATGGCCTTTTATGGACGCCACGGGAATGCAAATTAGTTATGAGAAAAAAGCTCTCGGCACCTTCCATCTAATGCCAAAATTATGGAAACGCTACGTCGATGATAGTTTTGTTATTTCCTTAGACATTTAAACTCTATACACCCTCACATACGTTTTACCATTGAATTAGAAACTAATAACAACCTCCCATTCTTAGATACCCTTATCAATAGAAAATCAGACATAAGCGTTTACAGAAAACTTACGCACACAGACTGATACCTTAATGCACTGTCACATCAGTATCCGGCCCAAAAATCATCGGTTATCATCTCTCTTGTTTACAGAGCCGAGTCACTGAACCCAGAATTAAAACACTTTACCTTTGCTCTTCTTTCTAATAATTTTCACATTAAAGATATTAAGCATTCCATCACAAAATACATTTCACCAGAATCTTTCAATAGCCATGAATCCGAAAGCAATCCCACACTTTCCACTATTGTCCTTTCTAACGTTCAAAACATAACATCACCGAACACATATCATAAGTTCTTAAGAAATCGAACGTCAAAACCAGATTTACCACTTTCTCAACATCTTTGGTCGGTCAAAGCCAAAATTCGATTTGAGATACCAGCATTGCATGCATATGCAGTAAAGATAAACCGGACGAAAAAAAAATGGACTCAAAGAACATGAAAGAGCCTTAAGACAAATAAACCCCTTAGCAGTTGCCGAACACAATCAGAAAAAGGACATAAAATGCTATTCGATAAAACTAAAATTCTTGAATGTAATCAATTCTTCTACCAAAGAAAAATCCGACAGTCTGTAGAAATCTATAAGCAATCTAACAATCTTAACCGCAACTCAGGTCTCTAGCTGTCACCAATATGGGAATCAGTCATCAGAGATGGTGTTTAAGCCCCTCATTTATCTCCGACCCCCTCAAACAATATACAGGTACAGAGTAAAATGCGAGCCAGATTCAGTTAAGTTCTGAAGAAGCCAGCAAGATGATTGCCGAACTGTCAGCAAATTCGACACAACAAAAACCGGTGCAGGGTAAATCCAGAAGTTTTGTAAATAATAATTGATTATCGCTTTTATCATTTTCATGATTAAATGATGATTTAACAAAAGAAGCAAACGAGAAATATAAATAAACGTCAAATCCGGTAAGCACCCCCCTCTCCCTTTAAAGAAAAAAGCCCCTTCGCCGTTCGTCGACGCAATCGGAACCGAACGTTGAATTCGAAATCAGACAATCAAGTTGGCGGATACGTTTCGTTTGACGTTTATCGTCACGCGCGCCTGAAATCCGACACCACCCACCCCCGCCCCAATAAAATCATCTCTTCCATAATACCCGCGCGGCGGTCCAAAATTTGCATTCGTTTTCGACAAAGGCGCATAGGCGAAACGCACCACCATTAAGCGTTCGCCTGGAACAATCGACTTAACCGCTGGAAATGTTGTTCCGTCTACCCGTATTTGCCTAATCTTATTGGGAGGTATTGCTTTTACTTTATTGACGGGGGACCCCGCGGTGGCAGCGGCTGATCGGCTTTCGGGGTGGGATAACATTGACGGAGTTGGCGAAGGTGCCAAAATAAACGATCAAGTAAAAGATTTTCCGATAACACTGCTCGATGTTTGGCAACAGCGCACTAAAGGTCTAAAGTCTCACGTTATCTCTGCCAGCAGTATTCAGATGTAAGCTTAACATCAAAACAATTAACTCGTCTACTTCAAAAGAAGTCCTTCAAGTTTCCATCAGAGTGAGCATTAACTTCTCCTAGAATCTTTTTGCTAACCGACATCTGAATCTGCAGCTATACTATATTGCGTTGTTGCATCCTTTCCGTCTTCACCTATGGCTGCGAAAGTGGACATTCAACAACTCACTAGAGGATCGCTCTCCAGCGCACTTGTAATGTACTTAAGTCGTCCTATCTCGTTCGAATCCTGGATGTAAAGAACAACCAATGAGAAGGTACTAGGAAGACCAGAAATGAGGTCAGAGCGTTATTACTTCCCTAGACTTGTTATCGAAGGCAAAATTTCCGTGGGAAGAAGACACAACTCACTGGTGCTGTTGAAAGAACACAATTTACTAACATGTCGCGATCGCCAACTTATATTACCAAGACAAATAACTAGCTGAATTTGTTGGAACCCGGAGAAGTTGCAATTAGTAATTTGTGATATTTTTTGGTACCAATTCATAGACAATTTAGTTGAATTTAGAGATGTTTGATGTTTGATAAACCGAAGATATCGCAACGCAGTTGTATCCTGTAAAACCTACCCAGGCGCAGACATACCGTCAGATCACAATCTGTTGTTGGCACGCACTAAACTCCGATTAAAGAAAATCGTCAAAGAAAGGCACTCAAGACGCATTAACGTACGGAAACTCCAACAAGAAAACATACTACAGCGAACCAGAGATAAAATTAACAACGAACTAGGCAATATCTCACAAACAAGCAATCACGGAACAGAAATAGAAGACCTTTGGAATAGAATAAAAACATCCATAGTCTCCGTCACGGAAGAAGAGCTGAGGCAGGATAAACAGGCGAAGAGACAGGAATGGATGACGGATGCTATACTGGAACTTATTGAAGAAAGGAGACAATATAGAAACAGGGATATGGAAAAATACCGAGAAGTGCATCGGAGAGTTCTGAGAAAGATCAAAGAGACCAAGGAACAGTGGCTGCAAGAAAAATGTGCTGAAATTGAGATACTGGAGGCAAAACACGATAGTTTTAACCTCCACAAGAAAATAAAAGAAGCAGCAGGACGATTCCAAAGACGGAATACAGGAGTTCTCCTCGACTCAGACAACAACACCATCACCGAAGTCGACAAAAAACTAGCAAGATGGAAAGAATATATGCAGAAACTCTTTGGAGAGGAAAACGTAGACAATGTGGCTGCAACGGTTAACACTGAAGGACCTACCATCACACAAGAAGAAGTGGAAGCAGCTATCAAAAGGTTAAAAAACAGCAAAAGCCCTGGACCAGATCAAATACATGGAGAAGTCCTGAAGCTACTGGACTCCGAACAAATA